GGCCTGGTACATCTGGGGCCATGGACCTAGGAAATGCCATTTGCCCACCCTGCAGCGGTGAGGATGCGGTGGCTGGCGTGAGGAGCTCCGTGCGGGGCCCCCAGAACCCGGGAGCACCCTCCTGGCCAACCCTCACCCACACCCGCTGCCACCCTCTGTCACCACCAGAGTGGGGGCTGGAATCAGGCAGTGAAGGCAAACGCAGAGCCTAAAGACACGCCACAATGTGCAGTCTGCAAATGAACAATCCCTCCTTGCAGTCTTTCTTGAAAATCGAAATTAATGCAAAGCACCCATGATGAACCCGATGCCAAATATCTAGCCAAGCTTCAGCAAACCCACTGTGGCCACAGCCAGACTTTGGCGATCTCTGTGCAGAGTTAGGAGGCTTCAGGGTAGGGACGACTCAGCCCCCAGACCCCTGCTGGGCGGGGCATATTGTCACCCACCGGCGCAGCAGGGCCAGGGAGCTCAGGGGGAGCAGGCCAGGTTTAGTCCCCCTCCTCTGCTCTCCACGAGCCCCGCAAATGGGGAAGTGGCCGTGGGGTCACTTCTGGGCCCTGTTGCAGAGTAACAAACCGCGCAGGCATTATCTCCCGCCCAACGGACTGGAGCCTTTGCTGACCAACCTGATGGGGATTGGCCAAGCCCAGGGCCCCAAATCCTGGCCACTGGACTCCAGGCTTGGGGCCTTCCAGGTGAGGAGCAGGAGAATAGAAAGACCCCACCATCTTCCTCAGGCCGGGGCCCAGCCAGGGCCACCACTTTGCTTTGTGGTGGGATGACCAGGGTCCCCGTGTCACTCTCAAGAGCCAGCTCCGCCGTTAGCATGGCAGGCGCTGTTTCCTGCCGCAGATGAGGCGGGGGCATCTCAGAGACTTCCTGTGAGTGCCGAGGTCACACAGCGATTCAGAGAGCAGCCAGCAGCCGGTCTTCTGGCCCCCTAGCTGCCCTCTTCCACCCTGCTCTGAGGTCTCCCTCCCGCCCAGCCGAGCCTACTTTGTGCCTCATGTCAATCGTGGGCAAAGACAGCAGAATGACTCCAGTGACCTCGCTGACCACCATGGTGACCTTATCTGACTCAAAACCAAAGCTAATTTTCAGGGATTCAGCCCACCCGGACCTAGGCCCATCATGGTTCATTTTTCCCTTTCTTCATACTTCATCCTACAACACACTGGACGTTGCCATCTCTCTGCATGTTTCCACAGCCCAGAGTGGGTGTGGCTGGACCCAGGGTGTCTGGCTCCCGCCCGGGGTCCAGGCCGATGCAGCCAGTGGCGTCATTGCTTTCAGCATCCTGGGCGCGCCCGGGGCTCTCACTCACTGCTCACAGTTACATCCACGGCAGCTTGAACTCTGCCTCCTGTCCCAGGACCCCAGCCCACTGTTGGGTGTCACCGCCTTGGGACCAACAAGACCCCAAGCCCCGCAGCCCCCCAGCAGAGCCCCGAGGATATGGCAGGGCCTCCCTCTCCTGCAACGGATGGTGCAGGTGCAGGGGAGGCTGTGGCCTGGCCTGTGAACAGGCAGTGGGGTGCCTTCCCCAAGCCAAGCCCTGCAGTGCAAAGGGACCTGGGACCCCGTCCTCAGAGGAGACAGGGCTCGCAGAGTGCAGGAGCCTGTGGGTGCAGGAAGGCTGCACGCATACACGCAGCCATGTGTGGGGTGTGAGGCCACTCTGCGAACACTGGGGGATTTGCTGTGGAAAAAGAGACTTTCTACAATGCACAAGGAGCTTCCCATCCGGGAACCCGCAGGGTGGAAGGGCAGGAGGCTGACAGGAAGTGGACACGGAGCAGGACACGGAGCAGCACACGGAGCAGGACCTGAGCTCAAAGCCTCCCCCTGCCCTCCGGGACAGTGCCTGGCGGGACTGCAATGACCACCCAGCCCTCACACAGAGTGCTCTGAGGCTGGCCGCCTCGGGCTGACTGAGAAACGGTGTCCAGGCCCCGCAGGGCTGAAGCTGCTGAGGGGCAAGGATTGGGCACCCACACCCCGTGCTCCCAGGGGTGCATGGGTCCAGGGTCCTGCTGATTTCCTGATCTGGGCACCAAGCAGGTCCTGGGGTGGGTGGAGAGCGATAGGGGACCCCTAGACTGGCATCCCCTGAATCCCTGAGGGCCCGTGAGACATGGATGGGCTTTCAGCAACACCTGCTACCCTGGGGCCCAGGGCAGGGCTGCGGGTCGGGAGCCGCCTGAGCCCATTCTGCTGCCTGGCCGGCCTCCATGCTCGACTCCTCTGGGAAAGCTGTGGAGCGGGACACGCTGCAAGGAGCAATCGCCACAGGACAGAGGGGGTCTCTTCCAAAAAGCAACTTTATTGCAGGGCGGCGGGGGGAGAGAGGAGCTCCGCCCGGCCGATCAGAAGGAGCAGGCGAAGGGAAGCTTCTGTAGATGGTTGGTGAGGCTCCAGCGGCCGCCCAGGCAGGCAGACGGAGAAGACATGCAGCCTCGGGAGCTGGGGTTGGGGGACCAGCCGCCCTCCCCGGGCAGCGGGGCCTCTCCCAGGGCCTCCTCGGGGGGCGCCGCCCCAGGCTGCCTCACCTTGGGAACCCCGGGTCACACAGGGGCTGTGGGGATCCCGAGTGGAGGGCTGGCGGGGGCCCAGTATGCAAAGTTCCAGGAGCTTCTGTCCATGCGGAGGAAGCAGCGCCGCCAGCGACCCTCGGGAAGCTGTCGGGGAGGAAGCGTGTGGGGCACACGGGAGCTGGAGGGAGCGGCACCGCCCGCTCTGCCCCCGCAGCTCCGGGTCCTGGCCTGCCGAGCCTCTGTGAGGGTGAGTGGGCCCAGTCGCCCAGCCCCTCTTACCCAGCCCACGAGCTGCTCCGATCCAGACGCTGCCCACGCTGAGCCCCTGGACGCGCACTGCACTTCGGAATTGAAGGCGAAATGGCGGGTGGACATGAGGTTGCCCCGGTAGCACCTCTGGCACACGGACTGCAGGGCAGGACGGGGTGGAGAGAGCGTCCAGGATGGGGTGCTGGGACCGTGGCTGGGGTCCCCACGCCCCACGGCCTCCTGCTGTCCACAGTCACATAATGACGGGAGAAAAGCCTCCACAGGACCCTGCCCCTCCCTCTCAGCCCAGCGTCTGAGGAGACCGCAGACCTCAGAGGGGGGAGTGGGAAAGGCCAGGATGCCCGACGTGCACTCACCTGAGCACGCTTAAACTGCATGGGCGGGCCACCACGACGGATCTGCAGGCTTTGCACCCAGGGCTGCCCACGAATTTCACTGTGTCCTCTTCCTTAGGACACTGGACACCCTCGCGCCCCATGTCCAGCTCCGCGCCGGAAGCCACCGCACCCTCCAGGCCGTCTGCAGCTCCGGAGCGCCCTCCGCCTCCTCCTACAGCTGCATCAGCACCCCAGCAGGGCCTCCCAGGGCCCCCTGCCACTGTCTCCCCACCCTGGGCCGGGCGTTCCTCTCCCCGAGGCTGCTGCAAGCCAGCGCTTCAGTCCCGGCAGGGAGAGAGAGCCGGGCCCCTCCCGCGTCCTGGTCCTCCCAGCACCGCGGACAGCTCCGCCTGGGCCGGCAGCCGGACCCCGCCTGACCCGTCAAGGAAGGAGACAGAGAGGGTCAGAGAGGAGACTCACCGAGATGCCGCGAGGATGCCACCACCACCAGAAGAGCCAGGCGGAGAGGGCGCTTCATCTTGGCTCGTCCTGCAGGGAGGAGACGTGTCACACGTGCGCACACTCAGAGCAGGCGTCAAGAACTGGGGAGCTGGGTGGAAACCCAAGGCAAAGCGAGACTAGAGGTCAGTGATCCCGGCACTCTGGGAGGCTGTGGCAGGAGGATCCCAGCCCTGCAACTCAGCCTCCCTCAGGGGAAGTGTGCAAGGAGCCGCCGATGCCTGGCCACCCATCCAGGACCCCAGTACCCTCCGCCCCCCTGAGGCCAAGGCCACCGGTCACCAGAGCCAGCTGCACACAGCTCCCTCCACTCCCGGTGCCTGTGTGCAACCCTCGGGCCTTTAAAGAGATGTGTGGGGAAAGTGGCCAGGGAGCAGCTTCCCCATGAGAGTCCTTTCTTCACCTCCCAACTGGCCCGGCCCGGCTGGCTGCTCTTGCTCCCAGCAGATGCTCAGCCGCAGCTACCTGGTCGTGGGCCTGCGGATTCTGGACACTTGCGAAGGGGTCTCAGCACCACCCCA